GTCATTTCTTCACGACAAATTATACATGTGTTGTCGCCTGCAAACATTAATTTACTGCTCTCCTCTAAACACCATCAACACAAACCATAATTAAGCATCAATCATCACAATACTATCTCACTTTCCCCGCACCAATCTCCTAAAATCTCACGCGTTCAATCGAATCATTTTCAAGTGACCAACTACACACTTACCATCAGTAAGTTCCTGTTCAGTGGCCAACGGGAAGAGATTGTTCATGGCGTGAATGGCACGTCTCGATAGAATCACATCGTTCACTGCCTTATGGAACGCACGTATTGTCAGATACAACGGTCTGATCGAGAACAGTGGGAACGTATGCAATCTGATCATGACACCAGCAAATACCGTATACAAAATACAACGCAGCAAATCTTAAAGTTTCTCAATGAAAACGAATAATCATTATCTGTACGTATCATAATGACTTTTTGCTAATTTCAGTTCATAATAATCATAACCTAAAATTCGTCATTGTTACAATACGTTTTCGACAGAATCGAAATTCGAATAATTCCAAACGAAAAACTGAAATCAGTTCATTCAAAAAATCAAAAAAAANAAAAAAAAGCTTCCATCACCAATTAAAATGAAACAATTTTGATCAATTACAATGTAAAAATTTTACGCAAAACGAAACGATTCCATTCAATCAATAAATTTTAAGAAGATGAAATTCAATGAATGAAAACAATCTCTAAGGACTGATGAGGTCACATTCAAAACTGATCACTGAATATGAGAAAACTCGTAGACAACAAGAAGCAACTTCAAATGACACTTACTGATCAAAAGTTCTGAGTAGAGCAAATAAACAGCCTTATTCTCCCATGGATGAACACTACGTAAGTCATACATGTGCAAAAGATATTTGATGAGTACATGAAAGACGATTGTCATCAAGATGGCGTACTGAAAGTTTACAAATAAATCAACCATCCGATGCGATTAGCGCTTTAAATGTACTGAAGAAGTTGAATTCAGATTACCAATTCTGTCATATCAACAATTTTGCACATACCTCAAAACCAAATACGATTTGTACAGATGCGCCTTTCAACAGGGTCGTGAAATAGGCGTGTGAAACGAAGTAACTATCCAGTGAGCTCAGGAATGCGAGAAGACCTGAAACATACAAAAATACAATGAACACGAACATAGTCAGCT